AAAACTCACCTCCAGAGTTATTTTCGTCTCCCGCATGTCGAAATTTAACAACTTCCAAAGGAACATGCACGAAACTCATCCCATACAAATTGTAATCGATCATGAACTGAAGAATGTACGGCACATGCGACTCGTACGGATGAAAATTCCTATTCAAAATGGCGCCACTTTGTAGCAAATTGGCAGCGCGCCGTACAAATCGCGGATTATACATATAAATTTTAAGAAATTGGTGTTCAGTCCGATGGTACCCATAGAAAGGACTGGAAGAAATACAATTTAAGAAAGTTTACTCAAATCCAACTATGCATATCTAGTGGCATATTATTTTCTACAAAAACATTTTACCATTTAATGTCCTCTTGTCCCAGTTTTTCATTGCCACCTTAAACTCAGATAACGTAAACTACGTTCATATTTAACGGGTGACATTTGATAGGCTAACCTTAAGGTAAACCAGCTAGCTCGAAAGTCTAAACAACGTTTATTAACCGTCAAATAAAAAACTGGCACTAAGGCCGTGGTTTAAACTTAGTTTAAAAGCCCGATCTGGCTGGTTTAAACTTAGATAAAGTTAAACTGGCACTGAAAAACTGGCCCTTAGACCGAGGCCACGCAATGAGCGGCAAAGCGGCGAGCGGCTCAAAATTAAAACATTTGAACTATTATTGAAGTGGCCACGCACTGAACGGCATTTTTGTATAGCGCCGCTCAGTCGCTCAGCCGCGCGCCGCTTTGCCGCTCATTACGTGTCCTCGACCTAAGTTTTAATACGAAGACAGCAATTAAAAGGTAACGTTTTTCGGTAGAAACAAAAATGCCACAAGTCTTTCAATCTCCAACTCACATGCCCTTGACCAATTGCACCTTGAATACATGTTGCGCATTCGAACTTGCTTGTCCTAGCGATATGTTTATAGCCTTATCAATACTGCTGGTGATCTGATATATTGCTTTATTTAGTGATTCAAATTCCTTAGCCTCGTAAGGTATATAGAAGTACGGAAAGACGCCATGTACATGCATGCACGTTTTGCGACCATCAGCGCTGGAGCCAAACACTCTTATAATTGGTACCTAGAAATGATTTGTGTGCTCATATAAATCATAAAAGAAAAGAGTGAATTTAGTAAATATCTTACCCTTCTGATTTCTTTGCCACGGAATTCTGAATAACATGGATCAAAGCCGAGCATTGGCTTCTCCACGTAGAAATCTGCTATAACCAGCCGCACGGAAAACACACCATCTGCATCGATTTTGCGTTCGGTCATTTTTGTAAACCTTTCTTTTATTTTGCATTCCCGAATTTGTTGTGAAATCTGTTTACTATTTTACCAAACAAAAAAGCGCTTACCTAGAGAACTTAGAGATGTCGGAAAAACATCGGTGCATTAAAAATAACGATAGTTTGCTTCAATGCATCGAAAATTTTCCGCTCGATATATAAATAGTCGATGTATCGATGTTTTTTAAAAACTGAAATCTCTAGTACATTGACCCGACGTTCCAGTTTTTCAATTGTACAAAAAATAGAAGTGAATTTGACCAAAAAGTTTAAACGGCTCCAAAAAGTTCCGTCAGGAACCAAATTAGCTCAGTTGCAGTTATTTTTTTTTAAATTTGTACAATTTTACTAATACCGTATTTTGTTGTGAAACATTGGGTAGGTTCAGAAGGCGTAGCAGTTGAGCGCAACCGTTGCTAAAAAAAAAAAATTGTGATCGTAATGCGTCTTCTGAACGGCTTGATACATTAGCTGTCAAATTCAACAACACACTACATGTTGTCTCAACTGATCAGAAAAATATTACGATCATCTAACACGCAACTGTTCAGTTAATTAGAAGTACACAACAACGCGTTCAGTAGGTGCAATCGCAACAGTTACTGAGCTGTTGCGCCTTCTGAACGGGCCCAATATCACAATAATCATATGCAAATCGATGCATTGATGTATGCCCTTCCATGCATCGAAAAATATCGATGTACATTTCGATGCAACGAATCAAAGAAAAACATCGATGTATTTTTGCCATTGACACCCCTAGGATCGATAAATTAAAATTCAGCTGTTTACACTTCGAAATTTTTTTTTTGACAACAGGCAAATCAGCTGATTGATTACACTGTAATAAATTCACAAAAACAGATAACAATTTGTTGCACAGGGTGCACATGATGATTATAATTTTTCGTTATTCGAAAACAAAGTTTCATGATGCATTTCCGAACGTATTTGGAATTAAAAAAATTTTGGTGATGTATTTCCGAACATTTTTTTTTTTTGCAGTTAATCGAGTTTTAAAATTTTAATTTAAAAATAATTTTATAATTTTAATTTGTAAAATAATTGGAATTTTGAACTATGTGGTTAAGCTCCGCCGGGGGCATGGTATTAGACAATTTTTTGCAGAGTAGTTTAAAGTCGTCGCTTGAATTTTGTTGGTTTTATAAGTACTAAATAGTAAATATATTTATAAATTATATATCATCATTAACATTGTACAGGACTGTAGGGAATACTACCAAATGCACTTATGTATTTATGTATAAATATCTTACCTTTGATAAATATTCAAAGCCGGTGGTGATTGGAACTACTCTTAGTAATATACATTTCGTGGTGCAGGCTGAATTAAAAATTAGGGACCTTCACAACGAGCTTGTAGTTTTTGTTGGACCAGCATAGAAATTCGCAAAATGTTTTTGCTGAATAAAATCCAGTTACAGATTACCAACAATAAGCCAAAACGGAGTGTCAACTACCAATTTACCAAAACTACAGGAAAGACCCATACTATTTGTATGTAGTATAATAGTCATTAAATAATTAATTTTCCTTTAAACGTATCAATGTAGGTACTTAATTAAACATTTATGCAGCATATCTGTTTTACTTTATTATTTAATGATCTTTTAAGACAATACAAAGTCATTACTTTATTTGCCTGTTGAATTTGCAGCAATCTATGTATGTACGTGTATATACCTTTGACATGCATATATGTATACTTATGTTACCTATTTATTATAATTAATAAAGTTTTAGTTAACTTGTAAAATTGCATAGTGCAAAAATGTCAAAATTCATTTTTTATTCATTTATTTTGTCAAGTGCTAGGGAGGGTCTAGGTAAAAAGTGCCGAAGTACGAGACAAATAGTTAATGAGGGAAAGGAGAAGAAGGCTGTAAGGTACTTGGGAGGAGAGTATTGAAGATACAGTGAATTGGAAAATCTTCGATTTCAACGTTGTTTCCTTAGTGATAGAAGTTGTTGCATGTTATCCAACGACATCGCTCTTTCGAGCGGGACTTCAAATTTTTTGTTGTCCATGTCATATAGTGAAAATTTTAAAAGTTGCCATCGAAATCCATGGGTCATGTAGAGGTTTTACTACCTCAAACTAGCTAATGCAATGACTAGCTTAGTGTACTTAAATTCTAATATTTCAATCCAATATTTTTTACTTAGCTAAGTTTTTTTTTTTTTTAATAAGTAAAGTGCTTCTCCCACGGACATTAGAAAAAGTTTGTCATGTGTACATTCACAATGTGCATAATTCATAATTTTAAAATATGTATTTTAATTATCTGTTATGCATATGAGTATGTTTTTTTATTTAGTAATTTTCAAAACCATTATTCGCACTCAAAATTTTTAATTAGAGTTAACATTGGTGTGAAATTTTGTTTGATTTTTAGATTCATGACGTTAAGGCAGAAATAGTATTAAATAAAAACAAAGTAAATGTGATTTTTATTCTTAATATCCTAGATAGGTTACAAATTCAGTAAATATATTGGCTTCAAAGATACGTTGTTTCAAATATTAAGATAAACAAGTTCCTCTAAAACAAACAATTGAATATAAGTACGTAAATAAAATTACATGTAAACTAATAGTGTAATATTCAAAACATTCAAATTTTGAAATTCTCACACTTACTGATATTTGTTAGCATAGAAATTTGTTTATTTGCTACAATTTATTATATTTTTATCTAATTCCATTTGCATTGAGAAAAAATATGGCATTACATTTCATATAAGCTTCCACAAATAACCACATACAAGATTTTTAAAGACTTCTTTATTTTCTAATGGATTTCATTTCTTGTTACCTCTTCAGTTAAACAATTGTATAGATTTCTCTACTACTCGACTCCCATCTGAATATATGAAGTGAAAGTGAACCAAAAAACACCTAAATTTCTTACGAACACAAATAAAGATATAACAACTTTTTCGATTTTTAATAACACACACTCTGGGAACATACAGTTAACAAAGGTGGTCGGTTGAAACTATTTGTAAAAAAAGTACTTTAATAAAGAATAATAATTTCTTTTTAAGAATACTCTTTCTCTTAATGTTCGTTTCGGTTGTTTGAAAATAAACTTTTTTCATTAGACCAAGACAAGTTCATATGAATGCATCACACCGTACAATTTTGACAGATTTATTTATTTTTTTTTTAATTTCTAAGCGAAAAATTAAGTATCGTAATCATAATATGTACATATATGTAAGAAGTTTTTAAGTAGTACATATTCTATATAAAATAATAAGGAAAAATATGTAATTTCAATTTCTTCTGCTGTGCGAGGTTTTACAAATAGTTTCTAGTTTTGGAGATATGAATATAATTTTGTTGAAAAAAAGAAAATCTTAAGGCGGGAACTAACATACATATGTATGTAAATGCTCACATAAAAGTTACTTTTTAAAATACAAATTCCAAACTACAATTTAACCAGGTAACATTATATAAGCACAGCTGTATTAGTCAGCTTTAGCGTAAAACGATTAGAAAAAGTCTTGGCTTTAAGTCGATACTTTTATTTCCTGCAGCCAATAAGTTATAAATATATTGCACGTTCAAGAAATTTGTGAAAATGTGTAAAACATAGTAAACATTGCATTTGGATAAACTTGTTGCAGTTTGATGGTTTTGATGGTTCTCAATCGCTGATGTAAAAGTTTTTAAAATTTTCTAATATATTTTGCATTTAATGACTATGTAGTTAGATTTTTTTTTTTAGAAATGTGTAACACGTTCATTTGTTGACTTTTTCAATACACATAATTAGTTCTCTCGGTAATGCGGTGTCTTTTCTACGCCTTCATTGCAATATTTTGACACATTTTATGTAATTAAGCTTATCACACATAATAAATATCTGAAGATAGCAAAGTTCTTTAAAAACAATATGTATACGTAATTCAAGAAACGATTTCAACAAAACCTTTTTAAAATATTTGTATGCGTAAAAAAACAATATACATCTCAAATTATTTCGAGATTTAACAAAAATCAGAACCCTTTGAAAACTGCAGAATAGAGAACCATATCTTTATAAAATATGTATTTTAATTGTAGACTGTAGCATTATTAGTGTTATTAGAAAACGACTTTAAACGTCAACAACCATTTTTTTGTGAATATCTGTGTTACCCACCACGGAGCAAAATTCATCGAAAGAGATTTTTCCATCCTCATCTTTGTCGGCGAAGCAAATAGTCTTATCAACAATCTGTTGTAATTGCGTGTCTTTCAGGTTGTTGCCTACCATCATTTTTAATACCTATAAAGTTAAGCAAAATCTTTTAAATATGAGATGTACATATGCATATGTACATATATATATATATATATACACCTGCGTTCAACTAATTAGAAACGAAATTCAAAATGATATTGTTTATTTTTTATTTTTAATAATTTTCATTTAAAATATAATTGAATCTGTAACAGAAACTGCAATAAAAAAAGTTTCAAAGCTTGCAAAAATTAAAAAAAAAAATTAGTCCAATTTCAAAAAATTGTCATCAAAATTTCCCAATTTTTAATCAGAATACATATTTAGAAAATTTTCGGGTATGCACTTCTGTTGCTCATTCAATTGTAGTCTAAGAAAGTGCAAGTCTCATGTCGTTAAAAATTACCGTTGATTTTTTAGGTTATTTTTTGTGGATCAAAAATTTTTTTATATGAAAACAAAGCTCTGAAACTATTATTATTGTGGTTTCTGTTACAGATTGAATTATATTTTAAATGAAAATTTTTAAAATTAACTTAATTTGCAATTTGTGTTTCTAGTTAGTTGAACGCAGGTGTACATGGGTCATTTCCACACAAAGTGCTATTTTTTTGTTTCCCCTTTTTAAATTATTTTATGGTGGTTATAATCAACATGAAAAAAGTTCAAACAAAAAAGCAATGAAAAAAAGCGTAACTTTTTGTGAATGACTACCATAAATTTTATTGTTTTATTCTATTTTTGCTGAAAATTTGTATGAGCATAAGCGTAGCTTTTTGTTATAATATTGTCCCGCCGAATTTTCCAGAATGTCACTTTTTGAATTTTGCGTAATATTCGCAACGTTGTTTTGCTTGCCTAAGTGCATTGTAGTTAGGAAGCGCAAGAAATTATTGATCGAATGACACAAGAAAATAGTGTTGGGAAGTATCGAGTACTTTTGAGGATCGAGTTCTTTGGTATCGATACTGTAAAGGATCGGGTATTTTTCGAGTACTGAGTACCTTCTTTAAATATACACATGTTGGTAACATTTCCATACTTAGGGCCGTTTCCTCATCTATCCTTTAGATTACCGGTCACTTTATCGTCTCGATATACGAGTTTTCGTTTCCTCTTCAGCGCATAAATTTCTCGAATCGATAAATTTTTGCTCACCCGATGCAACCTTTAAAAGTGTGTACCCAACTTTAAATTTTGGTTTGGTTTTAGTTCATGAGTCAGATATATTAGATATTTCAACCAAGGTCTTGGTTTTTGCTAACAGTTGCTCGTGCTCTATATTTGCTTATGGTGCATTGCCAACCTTTGAAATTTTATGACGAGTGTAGTGAAGTTTCACTCTCGCGCTGCCGTAATTACGGAATAACAAATTTATTTTTACCGGTAAGATAAGAAAACGAAAACACAGTGAGTACTGAGTTCTTTGGAGTAATCAGTATCGATACATTTAAAATTCGGGTGCTGTCCATCCTTTTGAGAATCGAGTTCTGAGTACTTTTGGTATCGATACTGCCCAACACTATAAGAAATATATTAATAAAAGCAATTTTTTTGTTTTTAAGTGAATTTATCACTGAACCATAGTCAGTGCGGCTAAATATATCCGGAATGTAACCCAGTATTTTATGCAAAAAAAAAAACACTAAATATAAGACAATTACTAATGTCTGTTTATTGCTTAGAGGGGTTTCGATCAAGGCGTATTTAACAAGGTGGTGTTGGCCGTATATAAGAAAAAAATTACACTAACAAATTATGCGCTGATGTCCATACTGTCATTGGTATGAATTACAACAAACACATCATTTTGACGTAATGGCCTCCGCGGCGAAAAACTCAGCTGTCGCCCCAACACCACCTTGTTCAATACACCTTGGTTTCAATGATTTCCTTGTTTTTATATTTTCGTGAAATAAGACTCTTAGAAAAAAAAACGAAATGTTGTAATTGTTATTTCTCGAAAAGTGTTCAAATGGGAAATTGTGGTCGAAGAAGGCCTGAAATCAGTTTCGTATTCTGCACAAATTCTCTTGTCAGTAAACGATTTCAGAGTTAAATTTATCAATCTTAAAAAAATTACATAAAAATTCCCTGCCATGTACACTTTGTTTGGAAATGACCCACATATACATACATATCGTCACTGAAATGCAAAAAGTCGTTGCTAATAATTTTTTTACATAAAATAATGTGGGGAGTGGAAATTCAATGAAATGACATCATATGAATAAAAAAGTGAAGTTTTTTATTAGTTACGGCTTTTTGCATTTCAGGTGACGATATGTAGAAGCTTTCTACTGATGCTTTACCTGAAACAGTTCACCATTCGATATGTAACCATCGTTATCCATGTCGTAAATTCGGAAGGCGAAACGTAGCTTTGACAATTTGTCACCTTTCACACTAAACTGAGAGACACCCTGAATGAACTCTTTAAAGTCGACTTCTCCATTACCGTCCGCGTCAAAGATATCGATGACACGTTGCACCAAAGGATTCTGCTGCAATTCCGGCAATGACATGAATTCATCTACACTCAATGCTCCCGAATTGTCCAAGTCGAGTTTGCGGAAACGTTTGCCCAAACGTCTTATCTCATCGGCATCAACTATATATTGTTAAAAAAAAAATACAAATTATCAAAAATACAAAAACTTTGCGATTAAAATTGGTAATTTTTCAATGAATTAAAAAACTACTTACAATTGGAGCACATCTCCATGGGCAAAGATGTTTCATTACCCTAAAAAGGAAATACTTATGTATTAACAAAAAATTATTTAAAATAGTATATATAGAGAATTTCAATATCTCAACCATTAAACCAATATGTAAAATATCTAAGGCAAATTTGTAAAACATATATGTACATAACTAGTAGACAATGGAATGAATATTTCTCTTCAACATATAGGTTTGTCACACTTGCTTGGTTACCAGGTTATCTGGTTACAAATTATTATTCTGTGGTGTTGATGTTGTTATTGTAACAGAATACAAATTCCCCAAACAGATTTTGGCGAGTGCTGCTGGAGTGACAGTCCTTGGCCAGATATAAATCTGGGTCGTTCCGGCTACGTAGACCCGACTGTCGTGGAAACGAATATTCTGTAGTGTGTTTTATTGTTGTAAGCTGAATAAAAATATTTAAGCAGACAACCAGATAACGTGATAACTAGGCAAGTGTGAACAACCTCATAATCTTTTTAATGGAATAACTGTTAAAGATATGCTAATAACCTATAATTTGTACCAAAGTTCCCCTTTAAATATGTAAATGTAATAAGAGCACCATATACACACATATATGTATATGCAGATATAAATGCATTTACATGTAGGTGTGTTTATGTTTGTACTTGCGCTCTGCAGGTGGCTGGTGTGGTTTTCTATCGCCCCACTGGCCTTGTGAGACCCTGGCAGTGTAATGGCCATACCAAGTTGCGAAACATGTATTTGAAAAACTATTTCTAATATAATTTAATGTATGTAGCAAACCTTTAGCCTGCTTAAATCCTTATATGATCTTGCAAAACATACAGGTGTACATAACTTACATAGATATATACCCATATACATATGTATATCTACCTTCAAAGAGCCCTATCCCAAATTCTAAAGTAAAATAAAAATTTACCATCTTTACTGCTACAGGTACTGCGGTACGCAAATAGAATGCCGATTCGATTAATAATTCAACTTTTTATCCTGAGTTGCTGGCTATTTTCTATTTATCACGTCCACTTTTCTGCTTTTCCTCTGCTCTTAAATTTTTTTTCTACTCCACAATTTCCCAGGCAGCTGTTGTTGTTGATATTTCCAATAAATTTTGCAACTTTTCCGATCCAATAGTATGGTTATCAAATATTTTTAGCTTCAATTAGCCAAATTATGCAGATTTTCCACTTTTTGTAAAATTTACAGAATTTGCTTTTCGCTCGATACACACACCAGTGTTGCAAAGCTTTATATTACCCTGTGGGTAATTTAGGGTAAATTTTAGTAGGGCAAACTATCGATGACACTATCGATAGCATCAGTGGTGCATGATATCGCAACTATCGATGGTGTTAACTATCGGCAGTAGAAGACTATCGATACTTCGGACGTTATTGCATACTTATACGATGTCCCCACTGGAGCTAACCACGTAGTTATGGCAAAAAAATTACGGCACTTGTTGACAAACAATTTGCACTTCAAACACTTTTTATTATTAATATGGACACTCACATATGTACATTTATTATTAATATGGACACTCACATATGTACAAACACCTCGGTATTTTACACATTCACTGAATACTATATACTTTAAACTTTCATTTATTTATTTTCTAAATACACTTCCTTATTAAAGAGGAAAGTTGTAAAGCTCTCACACAGCGCATGCATTTCACTTCCTTACAATTATCACAAAAGAAAGAAAATCTACGCAGATGCGCATGTTAAATGCCGATGGCAAATAAACGAAGAGTCGCGGCCATCTTTTTTGTTATTTCATTTCTTTATTTCTAGCATCGACTACTCTTTCTTCAACATTTGAATTCGCGGCGAATTCATTTACAAAACTTGATGTCAAAACGGACGCGAATTCCTCTTGCAATCCTTCTAGATTCACTCGCCACACTTCAGCGAGTTGTCTCTTCTTATAGATTTACGTTCTTTGCTTGCGCAAAATAGTCACCGAAATTCACATTTGCCGCTTTTCTCTGTTTTGCTTGCATTTTCTGCATTCACGGCGAAAATCAAAAATCTGCCACGGACAGAATCAAAACGGAGACGAATTCCTGTTGCAAACGTTTCAGATACGGTCATAATCGTCGCGGCCTATTTTCAAAGTAACGAGTTGTCCCTTCTTATAGATTTACCTTCTTTGGCGATACGCAGACCAATTGCGAAATTTTAATCATTCTTGATTAGTTTTCATGGAGTGTAGACGTGCGTGGATGAAAATTTACATTCACACCAACTGAATGAAAGATATGTTAAATCTATATTTTGATATAATTAAATCTGCCCTAAGAGAAATGCCTCCATTTTTATCCCTGAACACTAATCAAGACGAAATCTCACCATACACAACACATTTGGTCTGCGCATTGCCGACTAAAATCAAAATTATTTGCTTTTTCACAGACTGTATGTGAGACGGTCTGTGCAAACATGAGATCGACCAAATACACGATAGCTCGGTGCAAGTACCCGCGATACACAGACTTACTGTGTGATCTATTTGGCCCATAAAAGATTTCTTCACTTTTAATTTGATGCGATATGGCATTGTTAACAATAAAAATCACTTGTTCGACGAATGTGGGAAAAGAAAATCAAAAAGTCAAATAAAGCGACCGACCACCCGCTGTATTGCAAATTGGACGATTAATTGTTTGTTTGTAAGATTAAACCGTTATAGGTTCATAATTTGTTAATAATTTAAAAATAAAACCATCGAAATCAGCTACAACGCAAAGCAAAGCTCGGCTCAGAGAGTGGCCAGGCAACTTGAAAACTGCCGGGAAAAGCATCTAGTTGAAGTGGACTTTTTGCAGCCTTTTGCTCGGACGTACCGTGAAGCGAACTCAATTATATACATACGTACATATATTGAAATACATAATTTATAATGGAGAATATACCATCGAGGGCCAATGATATTATTGGCGGCAATATATTATCAACGTTAGAATCTAAAGATTCCAAAGTTACACTTGGGTCAGTCACACCCCTTGCTGAGGTCGAGAAACTATCCTATGAAATCCACCGTTACTCCAGCTTTTCTACCAACTATTTCCCTGAGTAAGTAAAGTAAATGCAAGAAATATAATTATTTTTAATTTGGAACCGAAATATCGGAACGGAGGAGCATATTTGCATAATTCTGGCGTTCCGCTATGCGCTTCTTTATTGTACTCTATAATAGATATTTATTGAGTGTGTTTATTTTTACTGTTTGCGCCATGGTTTACGGTACAAATTTGATCAATTCCTTCGTGCAGAAAAGCCAAAAGATGAAACAATAGCAGTTCAACAATTTAGAGAATTTAGCATAAGTTTTGCTTTGTATGTATGTATGTAGATTTGGTACTATGCCTATGGTACATATGTACATACGTACTCGCAGGAAATGTTACTACTAGATATTATTAAGCTTTCGATTTAATAATAATAATATAGCTTCTCCCCCGATTTGTGGCGTGCGCCTTGATGTTGTCACACAAAGAGGAGGGACATACAGTTTTACGCCGACTCCGAACGGTGATTGTATTTTTATGAGAAGGTGTTTTTCATGGCAGCAGTACACCCGGAGGTTTGCCTGCCGAGGGGCGAACGCTGGTAAAACAAAACCCTTTTTCCTTTACTTTTTTGCTATGTTGCGTTCCATGTATATAAACATACAGCCGAAAGCCCTGGTTGCTAGCGCTCCTTTGTTTAGTTATAAGATTTAATATTTTGTAACTAATAATAATAATAAATAAATAAATATAAACATACATGATGCATCACTGCTAACTACGCTGTCGGTGATAATGTACACATAATTTTTTGTGAGTTCATTGCGTCGAATAAAGTACACATATTATGCTTTTTATATGTTAGAAATATACTCGTAGATTGTCCAAGTGATCAGTCTTCACGTTGGTCAGCGCACACCAACAATCCGCCGCAATATCTTACTCTGAAGCTAAAGCGTCCTGCCATTGTGAAAAAAATCAAATTTGGAAAGTTTGAAAAGTCTCACGTTTGCAATATCAAAAAGTTTCGAATTTTTGGTGGTCTTGATGAGGAACGCTTGGTATTGCTCCTAGAAGGGTAAATATAATATACACTTAGTCACCTAGTTATTGAATTAAAACATATGCAATCTTATTTTAGCGGTCTTAAAAATGATAATGTGCCAGAAGTGTTTAACTTGCGATGCAAAACCGAAGACGGTTCAGAACAGCTTCCTATTTTGTTTGTGAAAATCGTGCCGTTACTGTCGTGGGGACCAACATTCAACTTTAGCATTTGGTATATTGAATTGCATGGCCAAGATGATCCAATGTATACCAGTGCGAGTTTAAAAAACTACAATATGGTGAGTAGGGACTCGCTTCGAGTTCTTGTTAATGTTTACGGAATTCGCTCTTTTTTTACAGCTGCGTGAGATAGAGATCGTAAAATTGTGCTTGAAACACTTTCGCCAACAGGGCTACGATGCCGCATTTAGGGCTCTTCAAGAACAAACACAAGTACAACTGGAACACACGCTTATAAGCGAGCTGCACAAGTGTCTGGTCATGAGTGGCGATTTTGAAAAGGCTGAACAATTCATAACTGAGTGTGTGAATGAGGGTCTAATGGACGCCTACCTAAACCGCCAGGATTATATACACACCTGGCGTATGCAACACACTGAAAGCAGCACACAACCGGGTACATGCAGTAAAACGCGAATACTTAGTAAAATTCTTTTTAAATAAATTTAATTCATCATTTTATTTTTTAAGGCAATCGTGGCGGCCATCAATTGGTTGTGGATACTAAAAAACGTTTGGTGTATCTGTATGGTGGTTGGGACGGGTACCGTGACCTCAGCGATCTGTGGGTCTTCGATATAACAAATAATAGCTGGACATTGCTGTTTGAACAAACTGAACCTTTTAATGGACCCACTCCACGTTCATGCCATAAAATGGTCTTTGATTCTGTTAGTGAAAACATTTTTATGCTGGGCCGCTATTTGGACAACTCCATTCGTACAACAGATTATATAAAAGTAGGCTAAATTAACTATCAGTACAATATAACCTAAGTAAAACTTCAATGTGTTCTAATAATAGAGCGACTTCTTCCTGTATGATACGCGAGCGCGAACGTGGTTGCAAATCTGCGACGATACTAGTCACGTAGGGGGACCACACCTTGTCTATGATCATCAAATGTGCATTGATAGCGATAAGCGCACAATTTATGTATTTGGTGGAAAAATTCTCACACCACGCAGCGTTTCAAATACCACAACGAATGAACCCGAATATTCGGGTCTATTCTCGTATCACATTGCCACCAACACTTGGACTCAGATACTCGTCGATTGTCACCATCCAAGTGCTGCACAGGCAGATGTACTCTCTATAAAGTCCCGTATTACCCACTGTATGGTCTTTCATATGGTAAGAGCTTGCATATACTATACTTTATCACCATTAAAACTTCATTAATTGGTAATATTTTAACGCATAGAAAAATCGCAAACTGTATATTTACGGCGGTCAGCGGGGTAAAGAGGATATCGATGACTTTATCACTTATGATGTAGACACTCAGGCCATTTCAGTGCTTAATAAAGACAATAACACCTGTGGCGGTGCTGGTGGCAGTAGCGTTTGTAGCCACAGCAGCGGTGGAGGTGACGCCAAAAATGAACCGTCGCCAGGTTACACGTTGCGGGCTACAATCGATTGCGATCGTGATGAAATTTATATCTTCTCCAGTTTGAGTAAACTTAAAGATCGTCGTGATATCCAACATATTGACGCCTCGAATTCATTTTGGGTATATTCGCTTAAAAGTTACACATGGTCCCGTATTTATAACTGTCGCCATAATGCTGAAACTGGAAATACGACTGTTAAGAATGATAAGCTCGAACCATGTCCACGCTACGCACATCAACTGGTTTACGACGATGTCGCAAAGGTGAATAATATTTTAGAATTACATCAACCGAAACCTTTTATAAAATCATATGTATGTACGTATATTCAATTTGTAGTTGCACTACCTCTTTGGCGGGAATCCTGGCAAGTCGGCGCGGCCCCAAATGCGTCTGGATGACTTTTGGACACTTGAGTTGGAAAAGTATATTATTTACACAACTTTTTTAATTACGATTATAATAAGTTCAAATATGATTTAGACCTAAAAGGAATGAAATATTAATGCATTGCCGTTACCTTGTCCGCAAGTTACACTACGAAGAAATGGCACGCACCGATCAGCTTAAAGCAATGCAATATTTGCGCAATCATGTCGCCGAAGTTATTGATCACTCGAATGCAGAACAAGTGAACAATGTAAAAAATATACATATTCACATATTTTTAAATAAGCTGGTAAAATCCAAATGTTTTTGTAGTTCCACAAACTAGCATCTTTGCTTTTTCGTACGGATGATAGCAGCGCTGCTGCTGGCCGATCCCCATTGGCAACGCCACCATTGGGAAAAGCCCTAAAAATGGACAGCAGCATACGGGTGGAAAACTTAGCAACCGACATGACTACTGAATCAGCCGAAAGCGGCGATAAACAGCCGCCAGATGAAGGTACGCAATTTTGAAAGTAAATGTACTGTAACTTAAAGAAAATGTATCGTAGACTGTTCAAATAAATCTGATGTCACCAATCCTACAGACGATTTATCAATGGAATCATGTGATAGCACTGCAACGTCTTCTTCAATGTCAGCAGTTTCCGATTTGGCTGTTCGCCATGGCCGGCGGAGTAGCAGTAAGCGATCACACGACGGTAAACTGCAAGAATTGCGCAGACGGCGTGCTTTTCTCTTTAATAAGCTTGTTCAACTAATGCCGGCTAATATGGTTCAACCGGAAAGGAATCTGAGCGACTTTGTTGTCATGTAAACTTTCTTTTACACTATGTATTCTGAAACGGATTAGTATATTTTTAGACCCTGTTTCTTGTTTTTTTTTTTTTTGGGAAAGCTGACGTTATCGCTGGGATCGTGAACCAGTAGACTGTATTCCAAATACATGTTGAACGCTTTTAAAAAGCAAATAATACCGATAAAAAAATTTTAGATACTGTTTCCAGTGTTACAAATATGCCTTAAGAATCATTTGACCGCAGAGGAAGGAAACAATTATATGCATATTTTGACAAGTTTCTGTTTTTTTTTTAAATGCAAAATCATTGCTATTTTATTTATTGTATTTAAAGCATATAGTCATTGTGATACGAGTGCAAAAATTTGTTTTTACGAAATGTATGAGATCGCGCGTTGTTCACATTTTCTCTGCCAACAATAAAATAGTACTGATTTTTTATTATACATTATATATATAAAAATATTTGTTAAGCGAAAATAATACAATAAAACAATATATTAACATAGATTTCTTACAAAACACTATATTTTATGAATTTAATAAATTAGGCTATGTATGGGTGTTGTGTGGTGGAGGGAAGACTAATCGATGCCAACGCTACCGACGTAACTGCGCATGATTGTATCCTGCACCGCTAGAAATACTATGCGGAATCTGTGGTATCTGTGGATGAAAATTTTATACTACATATTTAGAACCATATAGATTATAAGATGTATCTATCAAGTCAATTATCAAAAATCCAAAATAGCGAATCCAATATGGCGCCTAAGAATTTAAAAATTACTAAATTTTCATGAAATTTGGTGTATAGAGGTTCTTAAGTTCGCTCATTACAAATTTCCAACTAGGTTTTGAAAATTCAATATAGCGTCCGACATTTAAATAAATTATTGAGTTTTCAAACCTGAATAACTTTATTTAAAAATGAGAACTGCAGTTTTGGAAATTACGAAATTCGTATAAAGTAAAAGAAAAAAACTTAAAAAAAAACTAGGAGGCCTGGCCAGTTGTTTGGGCTCAATATATAGAACACGGCCCCATCTATCCCCCATTCATAAATATGTAAAGTACTATTATTATTTCATAATTTGATCATCAATTCATTTCAAATATGTTCCTTCAAAAACAATAAATCATTAATTTGGCTAAGCAAATATAATGTGTTACTCAACTGAAAATGACAGTTCAAAAAGTGTGAATGTAATAAAAAACTCGAGATCAGTGAGCCCTAAAACCTAGTACGTTTAATTCTTGGAAAACTTTCCTATTTTTTACCAGGTGGAGAAGGACTTAGCATCACTTGTTGGCACAGAAGAGAAATGACTGGCGTGCTGTTTTGCATTTGGCCAAAATCGCTCAGGCGGTTACAGCGCCAATAAAGAAGATGAAGAAGAACATCAGGTAACGCCACGCCAGATAGTTCAGCTGATTAAGCAAAAACTAGAGAAGATTTATAAATTTAAAAACTTGCAACATTAACCTTAAATATTCATAATATTACCAAAAAAAATGTATACAAATAGTCTTGCCCAATTCGCAGAGTTTTGCAATTTTGCAAGTACCCCATTTCAAAATCCATTTCTGCGTTTTGTAACGTCTTTTCATTTTTTTACATTTTGTCATGCAAGTGTTACGTAACGGGACATTGGAATTACACATACGACCTGCCGACTTTGTGTGTTGTTGCATTGCATTACTTTTGTATACAAACCCCATCTCGTCTATTCCGACCATACATATATATAATACTCCTATATGTATAGACGTACTAGCCGGCCTCGTATACGCGAGGCTTCGCCACGCGCTGAATGTGTAAATATTAAATAAAATGCGATTGACAATAAAACAGGTTGCAAGCGTACTAAAAAAAAGTTTATATAATTGCGCATTTGAATACCAAGGCCTTTCATTTTCAGCTCACATTTTTTAATTTTTCGCACAGGTTGCAACCCTCTTCGAAAAATAAAACCCTACTGCAAATCGGAAGGTCAAGCCTTTTCCTTTGACACCGCACTTTTTTTTAAACCGAATGAACTGTGCATATCTAATGTCATTAACAAAAAATGCCCTCGCGTATTATACATACATAATTTTAAAAATAGATGGCAACCCCACTCAAACAAAAAATGAAAACCTATTGCACATGCAGAGATCATATCCTTTCACTTGGTACCTCAGTTTTTACAAACAAATGGAGATCTTATAATTTTTAAAAAGTGGCAACCCTACTCAAAAAGTAATATCTACATTATTGAACATCCAAAAGCCGAGCTCTTTTATTTATATTGTATATTTTATTTAGTTTTTTAGACAGGTGGCAACCCTATTAGAAATCTAAGTAAAAAAGGTCACTCTCCTGCCGATACAGAGTATATTAGAGAAAATCTCGTCAAAATCCGTTCAGTAGTTTTCGAGATTACCGCGTACAAAAAATTTCGGCTACACACTAATTTTCAATTAAAACACCACACTTTTATGTTATTCATATTGGTTTTATTATATTGAGTGTACATAGATAATTTTCTTTAATTATCTAATATATTTTTTTATTTTGTTTTTTTTTTAACTTTCTTACTCCATTTGCGTTTATTTTTCTTACTTATTCAAATTTTCTGTAATACAAACATACTACAGCTTTCCTTTTATTTTTAGATTTATGTATGTATGTATGTATGTAGATTTACTCCTTTTTATGTTGTGTATCAGTTATCAATTCCCAAGGGTAAAAAATATACATACATAATTATTGATAAATAATACATAGTTGCTAGTGACTTTAACTATTAACTATTTACCTTCTTTAGTTTAGTTTTTGTCATTGGTAATTTTGCGATTTAGTTTTTCAATTTAATTTAAACTTGTCGGGCATTTTACATAATTAATAATTAAGTTTTAGTATGCTCGCTCTTGCAATTAGATAATTTAATTTTATGCATTAGATTTCCAAATAAAAATTCATATGAATACACAAACGAAAACGATATTTTTTTGTTTTTTTTATAGATACATACAAATCACTTTGGTAAAGCATTGTGGTCTTACGGTTATTACATAATTTGTTTAATGTTTTTTTTTTTTTATATGTATGCATGCACATTTACATATGTGTTTATAAAAAGCCCACTCCCACTATTAGAAATTACAAACAATCACCCGAGCGAATCACTAACTCGCGCAAACGGCGGTGTTTGCGGTCTTCAAAGCATCGGCCGATCGCCCCCGTGCGTGAAACTTCTTCTTCAGGCCATTGACAATTTTTTCTAAATACATACTATGTGTGTATGTATGTATGTATATGCGTTCTGTTCAATCTCTTAATGGCGGTGGTATACACATCATACACGCGTGTATAAGTACATACATAAATAGTTTCTATCTCTGGATTTGGACCAAATACAGCTAATCGAAGCGATAGATAGCCGCGACGTCAATTATTATTGAATTATCGTTAAAGTAGATACATTTCGATTTGGAGCTTTGGTTTACAATTTCAATTTCATACAGTTTTATATTGCAATTGCCTAATTTAATGAGTTTATATGGATTGATTTCTTGTTTTTTTTTTTGTTTGATTTATTGATGAGTTCTTACAATTGTTTATTGATTATTTAGTAGGGGATTCACAAGACGTGTTAAGCGTCGTAAAATCTTAAGCCCAAATTAACGGCTAAAATGGTTAATTATATATATGTATATATATATTTATCAGATTAAAAACATTTCGGTGCAGTTAGAAATCCGCTAAAATCATTTTAGCCGTTATTTTACATAAAAAAAAAAATTTAAGCTTAAGATTTTACGTCTTGTGAATCCCCTAAAAATATGTTTTTGATTTTGTGGATTTTTGCTTTTCGATTTTTCATTATTATGTAGTTATAATAATAATCTTCATCAGTATTGGCCTGCTTACGGTTTTGCTTCATTTCATTCCATATTTTGGAACTCGTATTATTTGCCTTAAGTAATTACACATTTATATAAATATTATCGGTGTTTTTGTGTGTGCGTGTATCTATGCATATTATTTCTTAAGTATGTATGAAATCAATTTAGCATTGGTTTTAATTATTTATTAGATTTAATTTTCGAAATAAGTTACCGTTATAAATAACTTATTGTCGACGAGATTCAATGCAGTTTTCCTACGTCGCCGCCATTGTTTATTATTCGCGCAGCTAACGAAACGCTTCAAAAGTGGCTCATTGCTGAAGCGATCGTCCACTGCTCGATAGATCAAATGTAAAACTCTAAAATGGAAATGGAATTCTGTATACAAATCAAAGTGTTTTATTTGAAAACCATTTTGAAAGTGATAGTGACACTGTTGCCTTTACCGCATGATTTTTGGTTCAGCGAAAGTGAAGTCAACTTTTTATGTCGGACCTATTTATTAGCAAGAATAATTGGATGCTCTCATTGGATTTGGGAAGCATTAGGCTGTCCTTTGAACCCACAACATAATATTTCACACGTGGCAACTATTTCAATTTATCCTCAATTTACGAGCACTCTTTTTCGAACTTCGATGATTTCATTCAAAGATTATTCTGATCTAATAGTTCGAATTCGCAACAAATAAAAAAAAAAGATTTTTTAATTACCTTATTCCCCTTTTATCGAGCGCAATCGCACATACTGACAGTTCAATAATGTCTACGGTAGCCATATATTGGACTGGATTCTATAAGTGCATTCTATAAAAAGGATTTTGGCGCCGAATCAACGGTGTTTGTTGCTCTCGATGTAGTAATCTTGATTCCAATTCTACATTTAAAATGTTTCTTGAACGATTATGGAATGTAAAAATTTTTATTGGCCACGTAAGAAAATGCATTTCTCATGCAAAATTTTTTTATTTGTTTTTTTTTTCTATATAAAAATCATAGGTTGATGTGCTTTCTTTTATAAAAATACAAAATACAATAATGTACGTTGTTTTTATTAACCATTTTAACAAATAAATAAAAATCATTCTATCAGTTGAATGGATTTATTTTTTTATTTGCCATGTAGCTTGATTTGAGATCCGCAGAGCAGAGGCTAATCCATCATGGGAATCCAAGCCCAGCTTTATATCCTTGTGATTTTATTTAAATAACACTTTGAGTGTTATGCTAATTAGTGTAAAAGCTACTGAAAGCTACTGCATAAAGTTCACACACACAGACTAGTTCAGAGGACAAATGTATGATGGTGTGTTCTACGCAGCTTTCTTTTGTTTTTTTTTCAGGTGCGAAATCGTTCTTTGAAATCCAAAGAAAATTTATTCGGTTCGGGCCGCCGATGAAACCAAAGTTTTCAAAAAGCGATTTCATTTGTTTTTGGTTTTTTTTTTTGGGAGAACAAATTTTATCACTAATTAACTCGTTTTATTACAATTTAGTATGAAGACGTTATATGTAGACATTTGGGATTGTTAAAGATTTTTTAAATGCGATTGATCGTATATGAATAAATATGAATGCACATATGTAACATATTAAATACATACATACATCCATATCGTTGATGAAATGAGGCCACGGGGCCAGAGGGCCTATCTACCAAAAATTTTTTTTTTAAGTAATATGAGAAAGACGGATCAATAAAAAAATAATAGCAAAAAAAAGCCTCGGGCTAGTACCGTTTCGATTCTAGTAACGTATTTTAAGGGGAGCCTCAACTTTTTTTTTTGAAATATCAGTTAGTCTACTCTGGCCCTCATGGCCTCAAATGTAGAAGGCCCCAACATAAATTTTAATTTTTTACGGGAGAAGCAAAAACCCAAACCTCAAAGACATTCAATTCTCTGCGGAGGGATTCTTAAAAGGGGTCATACAATCTTTGAGTTTTAAGTTACGAACCTACATTTTTTTTAGGTAGTTGTGGTTTAGTCATACATAGGCTCACTGTACTATATATTAAGTGCATCATAAAGCATTAGTACACACTGAAAAAATTGCAGTCAAAATTTAAAATTCATTATCGTTAAATTTTTACTGCCTAATCCAAATATTTACTGGTAATTAGAAGTCAATGCACAACCACTACACCTTTTCCAACAGTATTTCAGAAGAACACAATGTGTTTCAGAAAAGCAAAAATGTATTTGAGAAAAATATTTTTAGAATACAGTTGTGCTTTTCTGAAATTCATTTGTGTTTTTCTGAAATACTGTTGGAAAAGGTGTAGATTAAAGAAAAAATTAAAAAAAGCGATATATATATTTTTTTTTAATCATGTATTTATTTTAAGCATACCTTCTATATACGCTGGGTTTT